GAGGGGCTACGGCTCTTGCCACCCCCGCCACATCTTGCAGAGGAGGCATGGGGACCTGAGGGTGGAAAGGGAGACCTGGCGGCCCCTGCCATGTGTTCTCCACCATCTTGGGCAGCAGGACTACGGACGGGAGAACCCGGGGGAGTCCCTCCCCACAACAGGGGAGGGGGTGCAGGGGCATGAAGAGGGGAACACAGATGAGGGGTTTTCAGCTGGTGTTCATCCCCAAGACTCACAGTGCATTTTATCAGCATACCAAATAAAGAACGCAATTCTGTGTTAGCTCTTGACCTTTCACAAAGAACTTCTAAAAATCATCGGTTAGGGCTAAGTTCCCTGAAATAAAAGGAAAATGCTTAAATAACAACTGTACAAAATACTTCAACTCCTCCTCTGAAAAGCAAAAATTTTCATGAGGAAAACACTCTTTAAGGTAGAGGTAAACTTCTTTTTGTGCGTGGGTGAGTGTTGTCTCCATCTTAGCCCAGTCTCTTCCCAACACCCAACACAAAGAGGAAGGAAATAAAATTTCAAATTCACCACACTGGGGTAAGAAAATTCTCGGGGTGGTCTAGTGAGGATGTTTTCCAGGAGAAGAGGTCTCAGACTAATCTGGACACCCCATGTTGGGTGCCATTTGTTGCAGCTTGAATTGTTAGTAAAGTCCAAGGTAAAGAAGCAAAAAAGTCTTTTGCATAATGTCCACAGATGTTTAATTCAGCCGCGCGGTAAGATGTTCTCCTCTCAGACACACACTCTCCCCCAAGGTCCAGCTCTCTCTCCCAGGGGCCTCCCAGCTGACCTCGGTCTCCAGGCAGTATCAAGGTAAGGCCCAATCAGGGAAAAGGGAAGAAGAGCCTCAGGAGCACCTATGTTCAAGCATAGGAACAGGGAAAGGAGCCAATGGAGTGTAACTTAGGAGAAGTCCCTCTAGGGCCTCCACACACACCTGGTTTTGTTTTGTGTGGGTCAGGCTTCAAATGATATAACAAGAAAAGATTAAGGGAGTTCAAGACAAAGATAAACAGGAGGTTGCCTGGAAGGTGTTTTGAGACAGAGGCCCAACTGAAAGAGTTAATCCCAACCTAGCAAGAAGGCAACTCAGGAAAAGTCACCCAAGAAAGCTTCCCCTCTGGAGAAGGCTCAGAGTGCATCCTGNGAGGGAGGGGTGGGAGAGGGTGGAGAAGGGGAAAAAGGGGAGGGGGAACCCCAAAACTGATCCCGAGGGGGTGAGGATTCGGGAATTTGTGGGAAAATGAGGAAATGGAACCCCAAAAGTGATTTGGGAGCGGCCGGAGGTGGAAGGGGATAGGATGAGGAAGGGCAAATGGGGGAAGAGTGACAAAGAGGAAGCGGCAGCGCGGGCAGGAGGGTCCCATGGCGGCCGTGGGGCACAGGGGGTGCGGGGTGCGGATCCGGGGTGGCCCCGGAGCTCTGGGGTGCTAAGGGCTGATGGGGGAGCACCCCCTTAGCTGTGTCCTGCACTCGCAGCGGTGTTTCTGCACATGGGAAGGCATGAGTGTTACTTCATTAACGGCACGGAGAAGGTGATGTCCGTGCAGAGGTACATCTATAACCGGGAGACGTACGTGGTGTTCGAAAGCGACGTGGGGGTGCACGTGGGGTTCACCTCCTATGAGGAGAGGTTTGCCAGGGAGATTAACAGCGACCCGAAATGGATGGTGGAACAACGGACTGCGGTGGACTGGTACTGCCGGGGCAACTACGAGGTGATTCGCCCGTTCACTGTGGCGCGCCGAGGTGAGCGCGGGGCAGAGCGTGTTCCCTCGGGCCCTGCCCTGCCAGTAACCCTGGAGCCCCTGGATCCCTGAGAATTGCCCCTGAGCCCTCAGCCCTCTTTGTGCCCATCCCCGGGGCCTCCAGTCCCTCCCAGTCCATCCCAGCGCCCGCGGGTCCATTTCAGCGACGCGTAAAGCTGACGCTTTTCAGCCAATCAGATCGAGTCTCTCTGATGACGCTTCTGTTGCCAGGCAGACCTGCAAGTCTGATGCCCGCGCTGGACTCGGCCTCGCAGTGCCGCACACTTCATTCCCAGTTCATCCCACCGCCACCAAATCCCTCCCATTGCAACCACAGTCCCTCCAAGTCCCTCGCAGCCCATTCCCAGTCTGTTCCCACTTCATTCCCAGTTCACTCTCAGACTTCTAGCCTTTCTCCCAGTGCCCCGCATCCCCTTCGTTCTTTCTCACTGCCGCTCCAGCTCATCTCAGTCCTTCCCCAGCCCCTCCCAGGCCACCCCAGCCCTCCCTTCTCTCTCCCAGTGCCCCCCAGCTGATCCCAGTGTCTCCCCGCTCTCTCTCTCTCCCAGTGCCCCCCAGCGTGTCCATCTCGCTGGTGCCCCCCTCGAGCTCC